GCAAAATGACACTTATAATATGACATCTCTTTTTGTCTTTAACTATTTAGATAATTTGAAATGAAAATAATGTATTTTGTAATATAACAATTTAGAAATATTACTTATTCTAGTAGGACGGTTTTTTTTTCCTTTTTGTTAATTAGTCTATAATTTTTTTAGAATATATTCTTTATTTAATTTTAAGTGTTTTGTTAATATTAACACATATCACAATCTAACTTAACAATTACACATGTCATGATCTCATCAATAAAAATTTTGCTTATGTGTCGCGTTCTCATCGTGCGCACTCTCCTTTATATAATAAGATAAAGAATTATATTCATTGCCTTTTAGGACTTGGTCAAAAGCGGGTTAAATGGATATTTCAATCATTTTTTCAGGAATGATCATTTCAATTTAATTACTGTTCGATTCAATTTTGTTAATTCAGATTTTTTTTTTTTTTTAACATCTAACTTTTTATCTATATAAAATCCAAAATTACATCACACATTAAAAAAAAAAAAAATTACAACCACTTACATAACTAAAATTTTGGAAAACAAAAGAAGTGAACGATGTTTTTCTCCAAAAAGTGTTATTCGTTAACAGAATATCAACTATGTGATCTTTTCACATATTCACATTGACTCGATACGATCTTCATCTTTGGCTATCACCCATTCAGTGAAACAACCAAACACAAAAACTCTTTGTTGTATTACATTGACAAACTTTCGAATAGGATCTAAACATATTCTCCGATTAAGAACCCAATATATTGATTCTTTCGATAGAAATAAATCTTCGAGCTGTCAAATTTCAACGATTATACGAATATCGCCCTACAACAAAGAAAATGTATCTTCGACTCTGAAACATCGTCGTCGGAAACTATCCCACAACAAACGTTGATGATGACGAGAGAAAGCCATTCTTCAAAAAACGAAGAAAACCAGATAGAAGACAACGGAATACCACTCCACTTCAGCGTAGATTGCATTCATTCTTAAACAAAGGAGGAAATAGAGAAGATGGTTTAAAATCATAATTGAATCGATCGCATGATCGCATAGAGACAAGAGAAAAAGTTAATTCAAATTCCTCTATACATATAAAATACAAGCTAATAAGAGAATTCTAGAAATACTCTCGACTTACACTTCAGCGTTTTCATTAAATATTTTCACCACGAATTTTGATAATGTTTTATTTTACTTTTTTTCCAAACTAATTATTTGAAAAAACAACTTTTGAAAAAAAAAAAAACAGTTATAGATTGTGGTAATTATTCTTCCTCAGCAATTTGATCATAAAAAAAATAAGAAATGTTCAATTACATCATCAACTAGAGGCGAATGCAGACAAAATATGCA